CGTTCCTCGGAACGAGTTGTGACACGGACAACATCTCCTACACGAAGGTCGAGCACTACGACGAAGGAGCATGCCAGTGAGCGAAGCCTTCAGCCAAATCGATCTGAGATGGCGGCGGATGATTCTCCGCATGCGAGAAAGGTTTCAATGGTCAGCCAAAGGCGTCCTGCTCTGGCTATTGCCAAGATCCTCTTTGCGCTATCTGCCTTTGCCATACCCAGCTACCTCAACGCTGGACAAGTGGGAAGCTCAGTGCCGTGTGCAAGTGATGGAAGGAGTTGTATCAAAGCGGCATACGGCCAAAGCTCAAAACAGCTTCACCTACGAGAACCTTGGCGACTGCATTCACCTGAGGAACCGGATGGGATTGGACACAGCCTTTTGCGAGGATCCGGTGTTGCAGGGCTTCAAATTGGCCAAATCGGCCAAAGGTCTCTCTCAAAGGGTGAAGTCGGCCGCTCTGGCCGAGGCAAAGCAGAAAGCTCAGGAGGCAGAACATCGGGGAGAACAAGACGAACTTGCTCGAGCCTTGATTGGGCCTCGCGGCGGACTCCCTACCTTGAGAAAGGATCTGATCAGGTTGGCGGCACTGCTGAACGTCGAGATCCAGCCCACCGACAATGTCGAACAGATCAAGGAGAAGGTGAAACCCATGGTGGCCTTACTCAAGGAGACAAAGACTGCGGCAAAGGCCAAACCTCAAGGCAAGACAGAGAAAAGGTCTCTCGTTCCGCAAGGAGCGACAAGCAGCGGGTCGTCCTCCAGACCTCCTCCGGCGACAGTCCCATGGTCGCAGGTGCAAGAGATGCAAGGCAAGTTCCAGTCCGCGCTGGACAATATGGCTTTGGAGCTTCAAGAACTTCGCGCCGGTCGCATTCCTCAACAGCCGGTCGACCTGACAAGCCTGATGACAGAGCCCAGTTTGATGACCGACGAGGACATGATGCACATGAGGAACCCCATGGGATACGGTCTAAGTCAGGGCCGAGATGTGAGCATGGAGGAGGCTTACCGGACCGATCCGGAGTTTCGCCAAGAGGTGAACATGAGCTTGGAACAAGATTGGGAGGCCAAACTGGCAGCACACTACGGGGAGGATTACTACCTCTTGACTCAGGAAGAGATGGAAGCGGCTCTGGATCCCTGAACCGCTATGTGATCCACCAACAGCTCAAAAAGGGCCAAGCTCAGCTGATTGCTCAGGCTTGGAATCAACATGAACAAGATCGCCGTCGTGTGTCCCAAGCTCCCAAGAAGATCAAAGAGTTGCTTGAGACTGAGTACTATGAGGAGATGAAGAGCTTTCTTGACGACGAGATCTTTGTCCAACCGATTGACTTGAACTTCAAGGTCAATGAGACCCTAATGAACGACAAAGTGTCTTCGAATGACCAGCCCCTTGTGACCGAGATTTACACGAGTGCGAGAAACGTGACGCAGGAAGCAAAACGTCGTGGTCACAAAGTTGGGACATCTATGAGCTTGGACAATGGTTGGAATTTCCTGCTTCGTCGTCATCGAGAAGCTGCCATTGAAAAGGTGAAGACGGAGAAACCCTTTTGTGTGGTACTGGCGTTTCCGTGTGGGCCCTTCAGTCCACTCCAGTTCCTGAACAAGAAGGGACACCGCTCCTGGCCTGCTCGTCTTCATGCAGGCCGCATTCTGATGAAATTTGCCTTGGAGATCGCCCGCATTCAAATGAGCGAAGGACGACACTGCATCCTCGAGAACCCTAAGCCATCCTTGGCTTGGAGTGAACCTGAAATGAAGAGGTTTTTGGAGGAGGAAAATGTTTTTCCAGCTGTCTTTGATCAGTGCCGTTTTGGCCTTCGGAGTGTCTCAGGAGACCTGCGTAAGAAGCCGACCCAGGTGGTGAGTTCTTCTTCGTGCGTTACAAGTATGCTGGATGGGGTGTGTTGCATGCGTGACCATTCCCACACGCCGGTTCTTGGAGGTTCGAGAATCACAGCTCCTGCTGGACTGTATCCTCGGGCCTTGGCTCGCACTTTGGTTCGCGGACTGGAAGCCCAGTTCGAGAAGGACTTCAAGCCCTGTGAAGTTTTGGTTGCAGGTGTCCATGAGGACGATGGAGACCAAGTGGTCGCTGTTCGAGGAGAGATTGAGGACAATGAGGCCTCTGATGAGGAGTTCGCAGTGTCCCCAGATGAGAAAAAGCTGGTGATCCCTGGCAGTGTGAAGGCGACGATTCGCCGTCTTCATGAAAACACAGGTCATAGAAGCAACACTCGCCTTGCTCGGGCTCTGACTTTGGCTGGAGCACCTTTGGAGGCGATCGTGGCAGCCAAGAGACATCAGTGTGCAGTCTGTCAAGAGAGGAAGCCCCCCAAAAGTGAGACGACCAGCCTCTTTGCCGACGCCAAAAGATCTAGGTGACCAAGTTCATTTGGATCTGTTAGAGATTGAAGATGCCAGAGAGAAGAAGTACTTCGTGGCCCATTGCACCGACTATGCCACGAGGTTCCACGCAGCAGAGATTTTGGCAGACAAGTCAACTAAGGAAGTGATTCGCTT